TGATTGATTATTAAATAGACAGATTTAAACAAAAAACAATCATACGAAAACTTTAATTTTCAATTGGTAATGTACAGTATATAAAATTTTTTTGATTCGATTGCTTCGGATTGCTATTGTCAAAAAAAAAATTGTATTTAAAATTTAATGTTCATATGAACAATTATCTTAGAAGGCAACGAATATGATTTTTTGATTCCTATTTTTAAATACTGTAATATGGATATAATGAAAATTTTAGCATCATAATTACAGGATCCAAAAAATCCTCGTCCGTCTCCGGAAATAATTAACTATATAAGTATATTTTAATATGAGATAAAATTTGATTGTAACGGATCTAAATTTACCGAGTCGGTCTTAAATCGGTCCTATTTACAGTACAGTACAGTATTTTCAAAGAATATAAATGGAAATAAATTGAATAAACGTATGATCTTTAAAAATAAACAAACGAAGATGGCCTGTTAATGCCCAGTTAAATTGTGGTGAGGTTGAATACCCTACACGGAAATGGATAAATGGTAATAAATAAATAGATTGGCAGTAAAATTCAAAGAAGTATGCTTGAGTAAGAACATGAGCGTCACACTAAAGCACTGCCTTAAACGATGAGTGCTTCACAACTGAAGAACTCCTCTGGGTAAATGAGACCCCTAGGGAAGTACGTACGTACGCAATTCGAAAATTGATGACCGCATTGAAATAATTTTCGATTCTTGCTAGGGATTGGAATAAGGACAGAGGGAAATACGCGTTCCTAAAAAAAATTATCACCTTAGAACAATAACAGATATCAACATACGGTTAACGTAACTATAAATCATCGGGACATTTTTATTGTGTGTTTCCGTTTCTTTAGATATCATCGATAACTATATGATGTTTGAGGAAAGGAAATCTAGCTCGATCCAGGTGTTCACACGTTTATGACTGGTTATGATCAATTAATCGATTGGGTAATGGTGATTTTAGTAAAATAGTTAAATTATCTAAGAAATATGGAAAAGCACAGAGCGAAAAAGATTTTTGCTTTGGGAAGAACAAAAAAAGAGATTCCGATTGAAAAAGATGCTATAAATCATAAAACGAATCCCGTAGTTTAATCGATGAGTGACATCATCAGCTAGTCCGTTGGTCATGTCAGAATAAAAAGATTATTCTTTTTATCTAAGTTCGAGTCTTCGAGAATGGTTTTCAAGAACAAGCGAAAGATTCGGTCAAATACTGCACGTGAAATGCTAACTTTATCGCATTTTAGGTTTCGGATGTTCTTACATCATAAGTCGAGGGAGAGTATATATCAAAAACATAATCAAAAACGTTTAAATGTGATTCGTGCGAGGTGAAGATGGATCAGTACGCGAATGATGCGGGAAATATCTTGCTCAAATATTTAATGATGGTCAAGTTTTAATATTAGATACGATATGCATAGTAAACACTAGCTTTATTTATTCACATTGGATTCAATTTCAAGGGTTATGCGAAATCTAGCAACAAACTTCTGCATATTGTAAACAAATAATTCACTTTACTTAAAATTTATTATATACATCTCGATCATCATTCACATCTTATTAGAATAATTATTGTTTGGTAGGTTTTCTACTCGATATCTTTTTTAATTACTTGAAAAATTTCGATTCTGTCTATTTTCGAGTATTCTTCTGTATCGCGAATTGGTTTTTCATAATCTTTGTGTTTACAAGAGATTTTGAGCTCAGGATATAAAAAATTAGATAAGTTCAACGTTAAGTCGGTTCCTCCAAATCTAAAAAGACTACCAAAAAGATTCGCTGATTCTGCAATCGCCAAATTTGTATTTTTTACTCTACTAATAATCGACTTTCTTATATCCTCATTTTTTAAAGAAAAAATAAAGCTACGTTTGGTTTCTCTATAAACTCTACCTAACAAAAACTGATCGATAATCGAAGAGGACCAGCCGATGGGGTTGTATCCACCCAGAATTTCTTGAGATCTTGAGATCCTCATTACGATTAATAAATCCGTTTTTCTGAGTCCGGATGTTAAAGAATCTACTGAGTTTGAAATTTGTTTGAATTCATAAAAATAATTAGAAGCGTTTCGTGGCATATCCTCGTCAATCCATGATAGTATTTCTCTCGCGTGTTCATTGGTTATTATTTCCGAAGATATCTTCGCTTCTTGTGAGAAGTGCTCTTTTGTAGGTGGTTTATTTAATAGTTTACGTGGTGGTAAAATTTTAGATGATACTGGACGTTCTGGTACACAAATCTTTCCCCATATATCATCCCAAAGTTGGGTTT